CCCCCAAAAAAAAAAAAAAACGTTTATAGTTCACAAGTGCCCCACAGAACATTGGGATACAAGTCTAGGTGATGCGCTTGAGCTTCAGGTACTTAATTCCTCTTTTTACGGGAAGATGCTCGCTCCTTGTGGAGTACCTTTGTGTAAAAAGGCAAATGGCTGAGCATAAAAAACTTGGTTACTTGATTGGTGGGGCTCGGATCATGTTGTGCTCAGCCCAGTGTGACTTTTTTTTTTTTCAGGCAGGAAACAAGCTCTTCCAAGCTGTCACTTTGAAGCTCGTTGTAGCTAAACCACTTCGAAGACGTGATTTCAAGGGCGTCTACAAATGCGATGAGCTTCTCCGAAAGGCCTACCCAGAGGGGGCTGGCTATCTTGAAAAGGGCGCTAAATGTGTTCTATACCTTGACTAGGCAGCGGGGAACTCTTTTAGTCTTCTAAAATGGGGGCGTAAAATCTGCCTTATTCACTGATTTATATGGGAGGAGGCGCCATGCAATGAAACTTCGCCCCCCCCCCTTCCCCCGTAAAGGCAAGCACGCATATGGACCTACCCTTTTCCATATGGACAATTTCGCCATTCATAGTGTGCCCGAAGTGCCGGGAGATGTACCTCTCGCCGAAGTGCAGCTCGCACACAACCGCGTTTTCTTGAAGCAGCTTGTCAGTGCTTGGGATCGCTCTCGGCCACTTCGCTAACAGAGCTTCGTCCTTTGGAACGCCGAACAACGCATGCTTCTTTTTAGCTGACTTGTAGCCTGTAGTGAACACCGGGACGAAGTAATGGCTTTGTTTAAGCGCCATGAGAGTGCACACAGAAGCATTGGTGTCAGAGTGCCACCGCAATTAAAAAAAAAAAAAAAAAAACGAGGATGAACGCGCCCGACGAAACTGTCGGAAACGTGCAAACAGCGTATAAACGACTGCGCGCGTTCCACGCGGCTAGGGTGGCTCCTCCTCAAAGGCTTCAGTGCACTACGTAGGCGCCGCTTGCCGCTCATCACACTTTCCTATCCACTGCAACAGCGGCCAGCCGGATTTGAAATTTGTGCCAGTGCGGTGGAAATGAAAGCGCACGTTAAACAGGCACGTGACATATGCGCAAATAATCTAGTAACGTTGACATATGCGATGGTGACAGAAAGGCTAGAGAAAGTGAGATAGAAATACAAACAATAATTAACCTTCTTTTTTGTTATTTGGTAACAATTGAGTCATGAAAAAGTTGAGAAAACACAAAAATATAGCGTAAACAACTGGTAACAATATTTATATTAATTTAGGCACATCTTTTATTTTGTTGCAAATCCGAAAACGAAACTGTAGCTACCATGAGGGGGACACCTGTTCTCAAAGTTGGCTGAAACCTACCCAGCTCTCGGCGCTGGAAGCTGTCAAAAAAGCGCAGGAATAAGTGGGTGCTGTAATTTGTTCCGTTTTATTTGTGAAGCGCACTTTCTTGCAAAGATCGTGGTATGTGAAATTCAATATTTACACTTCGTGGTGAGTAGGGTTGTTGTGACAGTTTATATGAAGGCAGTGGGCTCCACAGTTGGGCAGCTGGTGCCGTTTTCTGCCGTGAAGGCTTCATGTTTTATGACCTATTCGTGCTGTGAAAATGTGGCAGCGTCTTGTCAACGTCATATATAGTGGTATAGTTTCTACTTTACACATTTAGCTGTCAGAATATGCAGTATTATTCTGCAGTATCGTTGTTCTGCATGGCCTCTGTAGGCTCTGCCGGATGCATAGTTTTCTACACGGAACGAACAGATTGGATACGTTTTCTTCTTCCCTGCCGATGAAACAGCAAATGTTCTGTGCATTGTGAAACAGCTTTTGAGTGGGCAAGTGCGAGTAACACTTTTGATCATAATAGGAACGAAGTTTAGTGCCAAAAAAAAAAAAAAAACGATTGAACCTTCCCCGCTTCATTTGCCAAATATTACCTGCTCTCACTGAAAAACGGAACAGGGGGGCTGTAACGTTGGCTGTTAGGAAATTGGAGTAATCTGTAAGTGATCTTGTGTGTTCGTAACGCTGCAAAATTGATGCAAATCAAATTATTCCGAAAGCTGCTTCACATGTGCTCAAACGTGTCCACCAAGACCGTGTGTGTACAAAGAGATCTAAATTTTATTGTGTGAAGAATTTCGAAAATCTGTATAGCTTTGCTTAAGCATACAAATCTCGTGTAACAAATGTGAGGGTAAGGTTTACATTTTTGAGTTATGTAATTATATCTCTCAATAAAAATTTTTGGGGCTATCAGTTGAGTCCTATTTCATATGGATCATTTCTGACAGTAGGGATGGTACAGTAAACACAGTGTAAGTTTACCACATCTGTGTTGTAAAGGAAATATAGGTTGATTTCCTGTGTCTGGTTTGCTCTACATTTTATGCCTCGTGATTGATTTCATGGGAGTATTGTAAGTTGTCTAATATACACATACCTAAAAGAAAACTTTCTGTAAAATTCACCATACCACTACAGTGTGCTTTGATATTCCAAAACTTTATTGTGCTTTGTCACATATTCTAACATACATTTTAAGCTGGAGCGTGCTCTCTTAATACACACTAGAGTGACAACTTAGGACTGCTCTTAATTGTTCTATTGCTATGTTGTCATGTGAATGTATGATGATAGTTGTTACCTGGTGATAATTTGAGCTTGAATCACAGTATACAGTGACAGAATGGTTGTTGTCTATTTGTATGTCTCATACTTTGGAAAGGCTTTGCTATTTGGGGAGGACCTTGTTACCAGACAGTAGTTGTTGTCACTATTGCTTATATTTTTTCCATGAAAACTGTGAATTCGCTGCTTTCCTGTAAAGAATGGTATGTAACACTGATAACACCTAGGCTGTTTTTTATCTGGAAGCACCGTGAGCAGCGTTGCCAAAAGAGACATGCAGTATGTGAGGGCGTTTATTATTTCGGGACTAGATAAGCTCCAAAGAGCACGAAATATTTTGGGAGCACATGCTAAAAGCCTACATTGTACCATGTTGGCTACATAGTAGAGAGAGCTTCAAGTATTCAGCTTTGGGTGGTTTCACTAACACATGTCAAATGGGAAGTAAGTTATCTGCTGCTCTTAAAGGGCTAGTAGTATCCCGGCTGCGGCGGCTGCATTTCCGATGGAGGCGGAAATGTTGTAGGCCCGTGTGCTCAGATTTGGGTGCACGTTAAAGAACCCCAGGTGGTCAAAATTTCCGGAGCCCTCCACTACGGCGTCTCTCATAATCATATGGTGGTTTTGGGACGTTAAACCCCACATATGAATGATATATATATAAAGGGCTAGTAAACAACCCCAAGATCCGAAAATTGTTATAAAAAGAAATAAGTGCATTTTTATTTCGTGAACATGCTGCCGCAAGACTTTTGCGAATACGTCCCATATTAAAGTACTTACAGAGGCTAGAACATCGCTTTAAACTGGTTTGAAAGTTTCGTGCTACCTTGCCACCCTTCTCCTTCAAAGGAAGGGGAAAGCATAGCCCGTCGTCGAGACTCCGCCCACTTCGGGAACGGGACAAGACGTCAGCAACTGACGTCATCGGTGAACTAAATCGGTTTTTGAACGTACTCACGCTAGCTGCAATGCCTGGTTGTTTACTGTTTACCCGGTGCCAATGGTTCTCCGCAGCCCAGTCGCTCAATTTGCAGCCAACAACAATTTGGAGCAAAACTGTGTTCTAAAACCGGGACATGATGTTGGCCTGATTTTTCTGGAGTTTAATTTCTTGGCAACAGACTGTCACGCTATGTGGGAGCAGTGGCACAAAGCACAAATAATGCATTTAATGGTTGGTCAACAGGTGGCGTGACAATCTGCTGACTCCTAAAAACTGGGCTAGTAACTGGGCTAGTCTGGATTTTGATACATGAAGCCTATGGGGAGTTCCGCAACTTGTATGATTCAATAGCTCTGTCGTAGCTGTGGGTGGGAAGAGGAACTCTCGTTGACTTCACTACTGTTTGTTGAGACCTGGTTTACACCAGTCGACGTGCTGCGTCACGTCGCCGATTGCCGAGTTGGCATCACTGCGCGTGAAAGGAGCATTGGTCAGGCCTAGGAAAGGAGCACGAAAATGTTTTTTAAAATAAAGGTGCTGCGCGGCACGCAGCTTTGTAGTATTCAGAAAACATAATCGCTGTGGTCTGCTCTACGAATTGCCGAGCTTGTTCGGGGGGTGTAAAAAAAAAACTCCACGTCTCCGCCGAAGGCGCAGTACAGTCACAGCGAAAGCTAGACGAGCGGCCCTTTTTCTAAACACTCGTTGGGTAACTGCTGCAAGCACACTTGCTTGATGCACACTACGGCATTAATAATGAAAATTTTAGGGTAGTATGTCAGCAGTTGCTATGCTATTTTTCGTCATTCTTTTGAGAAGCGTGGTATCCGCTAAACTTTTGCGAGGAATTATGTACCAATTGTTCATGCAGTGGCTGATGATGATGAGGAATAATGCATGAAGTGGGTATGCACCACAGTTAATAGCTGAACAAAAACAAGCTCTTGTAATGGGTTGGAGCCTTGGACGACCCACTCCTTACGTTATTCGCATTGTGCGATGACTGCTTGTTCTTTCGCTGTTTTAAAATGCTCTGCAAGTCGTATTAACGCGATTGCTTTGCCGACATCAAGGCTGCCTAAGGCAAGTTTGCCAACAAGTCCCAAGCACCAGCGAGGCTCAGTGGTAGAATACTGGGCTGGTGCCCAATGGACCCGGGTTCGAGTCCCACTGTGTTGTTGGTACTAGGCAGAACATCGTTGGCGCAAACTTAAAAGACGTGAAAAGAAGAGACTCGGAAAAGTGCACACTCGCAACTGACTTCTATTGAACCGAAGCTCGTCTTAAGTTTGCGCCAACGATGTTCTGCACAGTTACACACCAACTAGCCCGACAGCATACGTTACTGGTACACTAGGCTTTTTTTTTCTAATTTCGCGCTTCGAATACAGGTGAGGTAAGCCGTGCTTCTAAGGCTAGAATCTGCACATCTAAAATTCCATTGGATATAGTACAATGCTACTGCGGCTTTGGAAACTACATAATCAACATGCGCATTCCAGGAACATTCATGCGACAGTAACACTACCAAGTATTTGTACTTGGTTTTTTTGTCTAAATTATTTCCACTTAAATGATAATTTACATCAATTATTTTTTTCTTTTTTGTAAAGTACACATGGATGCACTTATTTGTGTTTAGATTCATTTGCCATTTAAGACACCATTGATGAATACGTTGAAGATCAGCTTGTAATTCAAGGATATCATGGTCATTCTGGATTTTCCTGTAAATGCAATCATCAGCAAAGAGTCGTATACTTGAGCTTATGCCTACGTTAATGTCATTAATAAAAATTATGAATAGCAAAGGCTCCAACACAGATCCCTGTGGGACGCCTGACGTGACCTCAAGAAAATCTGACTTAATGCCATTCAAGACAACACATTGGCGGCGTTGTGCCAAGTAATTCTCGATCCACTTAAGAATTCTTTCATCTATGTTGAGTATTCGTAATTTTTTAAGGAGCAGAGAATGAGAAACAGTGTCAAAGGCTTTGCTGAAGTCTAAAAAGATGCAGTCTGTTTGCCCATCCAAATCAATTGCAGATACTAGGTTGTTATAGAACTCTAGAAGCTGGGTCGTGCATGAAAAGCCTTTACGAAAACCATGTTGAGCCTTCGCTATCAACTCGTAATCCAATAAATGCTTCATTATAGCTTTGTGTATTATGTGTTCAATAATCTTACACGATATTGACGTAAGCGAGTTAGGTCTATAATTTGTGACGTCTTTCTTGGAACCTGCTTTGTGAATCGGGACTAAATTTGCTACCTTCTAGTCTTGCGGCAGCTGACCAGTATATAAGGATTTTTCAAATATTAGATAAAGGAAAAGCGCAATGGGGTGAGCGCACTGTTTTAGAGCTCTTGGAAAAACACCATCAGGACGGGTAGCTTTACTTTCGTCAAGATTCCCGAGCAAGGCCTCAATGTCGTTTACACTAATTTCGAGTGGTTGCATAAGGGAAACAGAACTATCTTGCAAGGGTGAGCTCAATGCATACTTAGGAAGAAAAACTGATTGAAAGTAATTATTTAAGCACGTGGCTTTTTCTGCATCATCGGAAACAGTGCATCCATTGAAAATAAGTTTGTTTATTCCAACGGTATCAGACCTACAACCCTTTAAATACTGCCAGAAAGGTTTAGGATTTAGTCTCATATTTTCATTTAATAATTTGAAGAAGAGCTGCTTTGCATTTTCTGACGCGTCTTTATATTCGCGCGTTAGTTCCTGTAGCTTTTTATACTGAACTTTACCTTTCGTTTTCTTGTATCTTTTAAATACGCACCTTCGTTTCTTAATTAGCTTCGGAATACCATAAGTCACCCATGGCACTTGAGAGTATCACAGATTCTTTTCAAATGAAATTTATAGCTTGCCTCCAAGCGCTCAGCTTGCTTGCCAGCAATAATGGCAACATTGTCTGTGTGACATTGATTTATGCAAAGTGGAAGTGACGAAACTGATGTGCCACAATGGGCGTCTGCTTGTTTGCTGTGGATTGTGTGGGTTCGGCCGGCGCTTCCTTTGTTGAGTGTGCAATTTCCTTTTCCATGTTAGTGGCCATGCAATGGGTGGTAAGTGGTGTTGCGTTGTGGGCAGCACATGATTCGCCATATATTCATCATAACAGCATAGTTCCGTTTCGATATAGTGTTTTAGCGGATAGCCGCCGGTACAAACTCGGACGGCCTGGACACCCAGGGAAAAATATTCTAACTGGGAATAATTGGGACCAGTTCAAGTGGTTTATGGTCAAATTCCCAGTGAAGACCAGTTGCACGTGGGTTCCAACTGGGGCCCATTGGCAACTGGTCCCCACTGGGAATTTGACCATAAACCACTTCAACCAGTCCCAGTTGAGGTCCACTGTCAACTGGTCCCCACTGGGAATTTGACCATAAACCACTTGAACTGGTCCCAATTGTTTTCAGTTGCCAGTGTATCCCTGCGCTGCATATAGACAAGGAAGCTTTGCATTGAAATTGGACTTATTTATTAGAAACTTTGCAGATTGAGTGTACAGGGGCTGCGAGGCATCTTGATTGTTTCCTTGGACAGGTGGCAGACGCTTGCTATTTCGTAGATCTCCTGCGTACAGAACCACCTGAAAGAAATATTTACACTGTTAGCAAAACTGTAATTACTGCTTTACGCATGCAATACTACCAGAAATTAAATTTCATCTTATTGGAAAATCGTAAAGCAAATATTGCTATCAACCAAAACACAAGTACTATAGTCGCAATTATGGACGTCTCCTGTAAGCAGAAACTGTGGCTCTTAATTCACACCTCCTAATACGTGACTCGATTGATGACTATATCATTGTGAGATATTTTTATGAAGCAATCATAAGTGGGGTTCTGCTCAATTGTGCCTTTCAACATGCGATTGTAGTTATCTATAAATCTCTCTATCATACAGTCAGCAACGTTTGTAAATAAATAGGCACACCTCTATTGGGGGGGGGGGGGGGGTACATATCAGTAAAAGGTACAGATGCACCACAGCATAATTTACAACCTTACACAGCAATTATTGACACAATTAACTCGTGTAACATATAATTCGAAATTCTAATTCCCTGGAGAATTTTCATATATGTCACTATACATTAATTTAACTATCTGTAGAGATCACGTCTAGGTGTATTCTGATTTTTAAACCGTCGAGCTTATCTACGGGGCCAAAAAAAAAAAAAAAAAAAGGCATTGGACAGTAAAGCTGAAGCTCACACACAGACAACAGATTCGGGGATATTTAATCACCGAGCAAATACGTGCCCTTTTATAGTACTTCGGATAGAGCTACAAGCTGGCATAAGTAATGTTATTTAGCATGCTGTTCAACACGAGTATTGCGCAATCGACACTCATATTTTATCATGCTCCAAAACAAATGACCGCGATTCTGCAGAGTCTAAAGCATTGTTTACAAGGCAATGTTCCATCATCTCCACTCGCAAAACACTCTGTGTTGCGTTATATTATATCTACATCTTTACTTACTCGAAGCAAAAGAGATTAATTACCTTCAAATGGCTGCATTGCAGACAAGGCAGCCAGCATGGCATTCCGAACACAATGGATCCACATATCCGTCTTGTCACAGGCTAACACACTCATTCGACGATTGCCTGAAATCGTAAAGTCTTCCAGAGATGAAACTGTCAAGCACTGATCAAAATACTTCAATTATGTGTGCCATGACTCCTCGTTCTTCATCAAGAACAACATAACTGTGTCGCACTTCCGGGCCTATCCATGGCATGGTAGCTAGCCCTCGCCACATGTGCTGTACGAAACTGCTCGTCACTGTGTTAAAAATTTTTCTGCCTGTGCGCCTGTTACACTGTTCATTGAAAATTGCAAAATGTGTGCTTAAGAAATTATTTTGATTTATTTTGTATTTAAGAGTGATTATACTTTTCTTTTTTATTTAGTATTTGAGCGTAAGATTAGATACGCAACTACAGTGACGTCTGCTGGCTATTCAGGTAGAACATGAGAAAGAAAGCGGGAGACAGTGGTAGATGTCTGTGGTAAAACACCGTTTGTGGTGTTGTACAATCCACGTTAGCGCTGGAGTTTGCAGCATTATAGGATATCGGCAGTCTTGGCCGTGGTAGCTACAGGCTCGGCACTGTTTTTTTTTTGTTGTTGTACGGAAGTAATGCGCCTGTGCAGCACAGAGGGCTGTCAAGCAGGGAAGCAGGCATGCTCACTGCGAATTAATTCGGCAATATTACAACCTGACGTCGATTGGGACCATTTCGGCTGCGTATTGTCACTGCGATGAACGTAAAAATATTGGTAACAGCTTAATACAGTTGAAATTACTGAAGCTAAAGAAGCGTACATATGAATGCAATGTGTTTGCGCACTTGTGCAACTGAATATTCTGTGATAATATCATTTTAGTAGAGTCAGTTAGGTTAAAACAACCCACAGATGATGAAAAAAATGTAATAGATTCGCAAATCATGAGACACACATTTTCTTATCGTCCTATATGTCCTGCTAGGCTGGTGGTCCGGTACACTTCCGTGTGCATAGACAAAAAAAAAAAAAAAAAAAAAAAAAAAAAAAAAAAAAAAAAAAAAAAAATGGATGAAACTTATTTGTTGAGGTGCAACAATTTTACGTCATACACAATGCAGTTCAACTTTTCTCATCTTTCACTGTGAAGAAGCGTACAACCAGAACATGTTGCACTTTTAGTTTGAACTTAACTGTGACCAGCAGCTTCCAGTTCAACTGGTGATAGTCTCCGTTGGCATCCAGTTTAGCTGTAACTAGAACCAGCTACCATCTGGAACCACTTTCAACTGGGACCAATTGTTACCATTGATTCCCAGCTGAAACTAGTTGAGCTATAACTGGGACCACTTAGTAATTGGAACCACTTGCTACTGGAACCAACTGTTCCCACTTGATTCCCAGCCGAAACCAGTTGACCTGCAACTGGGACTAGTTGATCCCAGTGAGTGCCCGTTGAAACCATCTGGATTCCCAGTTGGACATTTTAACCTGGGCAAGTAGTGCCATCTGGCGACGTTATGCACAGTCAGGCAGATTGATGATTGATTGATATGTGGGGTTTAACATCCCCAAACCACCATATGATTATGAGAGACGCCGTAGTGCAGGGCTTTGAAAATTTCTACTATTTGAGGTTCTTTAACGTGCACCTAAATCTGAGCACAAGTGCCTACAGCATTTTCGCTTCCATTGAAAATGCAGCCGCTGTAGCTGGGATTCAATCCTGTAACTTGCGGGTCAGCAGCTGAGTACCTTAGCCACTAGACCACTGCGTCAGAGTCTACCAGGCAGGGTCTGGCAAAGTGTTATGCCATACGTAAAAGCGCACTCAATTCAGTTTTGGTTTCAGTATTGTGGTTTTTTGGTAATTAAAAATTATTTCCAAATTCATTGAGCATTTCAGCTATTAGGTGTATGACAAAAGTGTCTCAGGAACATAAAAGCACCATTACCCTGATATGGTAAAAAAAAACCGCCGGAGTAGGCCTTTAAACATCAGTCAGTGAGTGTGTACTCTGCGCTTAATAAAGTTTATGTTTACTTTTTACAGTTTCAGGCTTTTGTTATCATTTGTCATGCCATCATGATGTAAAAGTATGTGCCTGTGTAGTAAGTAGTCATTGGTTGTTTTCTTTTTATTTTATGTGCGTTTCTATTTTTAGCACAGTACATATTGGAGCAATATTTTCTGGCATGCATTAGTTCATGCCAAACAGCGCTGTTGCACCCATTAATTAGCTAGGGATATATTCCAAGGAAGTGAATGAATGCACGATACTGGGTCTTGATATCGTGCATTTACTTTTTCATACAACACATAAATGTAGTTTTGTAAGCGCTAACAATTCCTGCCAAGTTCAGTCTGTATTTGCTAAATGGTTGTAATGCTACAGACACACAAACATGTTAGGTGGTTAAAGATATTGCTGGTTTGGCAAATCGCTCATCTGGATGGCAGTTGTCTGCTGTGTTCGGTGCCATGGTCATGAGTTCTATTGGCTAGTACTCCCAGGGCTACAACACTGAAATAATAAAAAAAATGTGCACATGGCAGCTACCCCAGCCGTCGCTCATTTTGTTGATCATTGCTTGCATAGTGTGAAGTTTTGTGGGTTTGATTTCCACAGGTGGTGAGTTGTTATTTCATCTATTTTAGTTGATTTTTTATGTAGTGCATTATTACTATACTTCAGTTAAGTATCTTTATTGTCCCCTATGTTTTTATTGGCTCCATTAACTGTTGCCTCATTATCTGTTGTGCATCAGGTGTAGTTTATTGCATAAAGCATTTCGTGTGTTGTAACTACTGATTCTGTATTTTTTTCAGTATTAACCTCAGAATATCAGTGAAAATGCCGCCAAAGTTTAGACGATATCTCTCTGAAGAAGATGTCACAGAGGCTGCTGAGCCTGAAAAGGTAAGTTTCTTTTTTGTACTTGTTGCCATTGTATTTACCCTGGTCAGAAACTACCATTTTACTTGCCAAGATATCTTGCATTAGCACGAAAAGTACTGATAGCATGATGAGAACGAAAATTGCCCTACTTATCTTGAAGCACTCCTGATTGGATATGTGCTATGAGTTGGTGTAATGCTATGTAAAGTTTTTCAGTTTGATTAGTTGTGACCTACATATCTGGGCAGCATGCAACTGGTTCACATCTTTCATTTTTTTACAATGTTTTCCATCAGATGTACTTTCCAGATGTCTAGATAAGCACTTTCAAAGTACACAATAGTTTAAGTATCTGATGTTCTCAGATATGTCATACCTGTAGAGGAGAAGCAACAGCACTGGGGGGGGGGGGGGGGGGGGGGGGGGGGGTCCTAGGTGGAGCAGCTGCTTCCTGAAATTTTAACTTGCCCTTCCATTGCCCCCTCCATTCTTTCCAGAAAAGCTGGCCCTATAGCATGTTTCTTCAGGGTCACCATCCACCCTTCTAGAATCTCTCTGAGACATTGTAGCTGTACCCCCATTGGGGAAATTTTTTGGTGTCACCTGTGCTGTTTGGTCCTTGCATGAAGTCCACATTTTTTAGTCTTCTGGAAAAAAAGTTGCCATAATTTATGAAACAATTGAAAATTTTGAAGGGAATACTGATGCGATTTTCAGACGCCGTAAAAAGGACATTTCTCGTTCTATTGGTGTCGCGTGTTTATAGCCTCTACACACTGGAGGCAGACAAAGCGTATAAGATATTTCATATGCTTTGGTTTTTGCCGATTTTATCGCTCATCATCAGGAAGCCAGCCTCACTGCAATGGTCATTATCCCGGTGTGTCAACAGTTTCACTGAGTTTCTGAAATCTGAGCCCTGCAGCAGCCTAAATTACAGAAATCAACTGCCGGGGTCACTGGACGATAATGCACTCATCGTCATTTTCGTGCACCACGAGATGATGAGATGTGCGGCTAGTATGTCACATGTTGCTGTCTCTCCGTGAAGTCACATTACATTGACGTGTCGCTAACGAGCTGCTTCTTTGATATTGAAATTGAAAGTGTTTTTTTATGGTGGTGATATCAAAAAATATATTGGATGCATTTCCAGACACCACAACACTCTTTTTAGGGTTCTTGACACTAGTGTTTTATTTAGACCCACAATCTGAATATATTTAAAATTCGTGTCAGTACTTCAATCAGTTGTGTAGCTGAATGCTTTTGATTCAGAAGATGTGAGAAATAGGGTGAGAGTTTAACTTTGTTGGACAGAAAATATTTGACACCAGAAGGAAATGAGCACAGAATGTGCACTTTTTTATTTGCAGTAATATTTATTAGTTTGTCATTCATGAACCTCTCACTTTACAGGAAAAGCTATTGCAAGATGAAGAAGATGAAGATTTTTTCCTGAAGTATGTATTGCCAGTTTGATATTCTTATTACTTTGTGGCATGATGGAAACTTTCTGTGATGGGTAATGCATCTCTAGTGACAGCATTGATCATGCCTTATTAAAAAATATTTGTGCAGAAGAAAGATTGTGCTGAGTGCACAGGTGTTGACTTGAATCTGCAGCTACTAACAGCTAGGCTGTACACATGTTATTAGCGCAGCTCCACATCTTTTGAGGTACCTCCATCATAGTGGAGTTGGTAACAGTGATCTTTAGCTCAATGGATTTAATGTTTGCATTAATTTACAGCCTTAGCCTAACAGGTGTGCAAATCATGAAGTTTTTGATCAAATCCAAGCAAGAAGTTTTATTCGGAGGGCTACAGACAGGGGTTTAGCTCTGTCCAGCTAATATTACAATATGCAGGGTGTCTAAAATATCATGCAGCATGATTAAAAAAAAAAAAGGACGAATGGTGATACACGAAGCAAACCTAATGCATCTTGTTCCCAGTAGACTGAAGTAACTGCCACTAATTTTTAAAATAAGATTTAATTTATTGGTCATAATTATATCTAACTTGACAAGTACTCACACAATTTTTAAAATGTCAATGAGGCATATGCAGGCATTTTCAAATGACATCTAACTGCGCTATTTTCAACAGCCTACTCATTGCATGCTTTTTTTTTTCAGCTGGTAAAGCAAGCCCGCAAAATATTAAAAAAAAAACACATGACTATGCTCTCACCCTCAAAAGAAAGCAGTGCCTTTAAATATACTTACTGAAAGCAACCACTTTGACTGTTGTCCGTTGCCAGAGACAGTGTTTCGCACGTTGTTTAGAGTACAAGTCTGACAAAAATAACACGCATCAAAATTTTACACTGATTTTTTGCGCTCATTGTCAGTATCGATATTTTATGGCAGACTATTCCCATTGATAATGTGGCTGGTGCGCTGTTCATATTTTGCTGGCTTTCTTTATCAGCCGGAAAAAATGACCGCGCAATTAGTGCATTGTTGAAAGTAGCACACTCGGTAGTCACTTTAACAGCACTACATATGCCTCATTGGCATTTGGATGAATAGTTGACTGCTTGACAAGTTATAAATATATATATAGCTAGTGAATGAAACCTCATTAATGGAAAAAATTTGTGGTGGGTACTTCAGTCTACTGGTAATAATATGTACTAGCTTTACTGCATGCAACGCGGTTCCTTTTTTCTGAAATCCTGCTGCAGGATGTTTGGGACACCTTGTATATGGATATATCGCCTGATTGCCCAGAGAGCTGGGGAGTGTGTATACTTGAGCACGTGATGTTGGACGGCCACCGCATACCAAATTATTGCATGGCAACACTCATCTCAAGACAAGGCTTTTGTTCTGTCATTATATGTACGGATCGTCACTGTCAATTTCGGGATATCTTGGCACGTGATGCCAAGGACAGGTACTCCTTCCCTGTCCCAGCATGGCAGCAGGCCCCTAGATTCAGGGTTAAATTAGGCTCTCCTCTCACAGTAATTAATAATTTTATTTGTTCATTTTATAAAGTTGAAAACGAATGTGCGAAAAAAAAAGAGACATTCTTCTAGTATAGAACTGAGTGTAAAACATCAAAACATCTTCAGATATTTAAAAAAAATGGCAATAAGTACGGAGCATGCACAAATTTCATTTGGTCTATAAAATCAGGCTGATATTACTGACATGTAAGTATAATGCTTTTTACATATGTATGCTTATGTTACCAATTATTAATTCATTTATAGCAACATATTCGGCAGAACAATAATTTGAATGGGCTTCAAACCCATCTTTCTGTTTCCTTCAACACACTTATGAGTGTATTTCTTGTGCATTTTTTAAAAACAAATATATAACACCTGAGTATTACACTCAAATGGTACAATATTTTTCTTTTGTGTACAAAATTTAATACATTTACATACCTGTCCTCCTCTTCTTGATTTTTTACACGTGTGTGAAAAAATAAAACTGCATGGCTTGCCTGTAACACACGGACTAATTGAAACTTCATTCTTTTGGAAGAAATTGTCCCTGTTAAAAGTGAGATGAGTAGACTTTTATTGACTACTTTTGTCACCATTCACTGGGAATCCTTCCTTCACAAGAATGGAGTTTGGGTTGCTTCCTTTGTTGCACTGTTTTTGTGCAGTCTGTTTTTAGCTCATTGTGTCAAGAGCATAGAAACTGTCCTTGTCTGTTTGAAAGTGGCCAGAAATTTTAGATAGGTCAATGGCAACGTCGTAGTTTGTAATTTCAGGATGTTCACGGAGTTTCAAACAGTTGTTAGTACTATTCTTGATATGTTTGAAATATGTGCTCCAGGTCTTAATTTTGCATTTAAGATGACTGCTTATGAGGGCCTACAGTTTCTTGACCTCAGCCAATCCCTGGGAAAATGTGTGCCGAAAGTATTAAGGGTTGTCAAAAAAAGCGTATTTTTAATTGCAATTAGGCTCATTTGAAAGTAGCCAAGTGTTGCATTGCTACCAGCTATACTCACTCAGTCCTCAACAAGTTATACAAACACTGGCTGGTGCTTAGCTTGCAATAGCAAGTCAAACATTTGTGGGAAAACGATTTGTCACGGCACATTATTGCCTTTCTTTTGAAAGGCAATAAAGGCAATACTTGAAAGCGTCTTATGCTGGGGTCCATCAAAGCTTCATTGACGTATTCACATCATGGATATAACGTTGTAAAATATATACCGACTGATTGCAAAGAAAAAAACAAGAAGGTAAAGTTCTGCAGTAGGGATTCGAACCTGCAACCTCGCTGTTTTCAGCGAGGGATGCTACCCACTAAGCCACCGAGTGAAACTTCTCCAACTTGTTGACGGCAAGCCATTTATTTATACCATGTACCATTAGCGGTCCTCAGAGCTCATCAACTTTAGCGCTTTTTTGTCATCAGTAGCCAGATGGCATGACAGGCGCACCTTGGGCATGCGCTCTAAAGGTCGTCGTGCCGCGCCACCCCGCGTGTTGCGTATGCGTGCGTGTCTTCACATGGCATCGTCAAAATTCACATAGATGTTCTCTATTGTGGTGGCTCACTCGTGCGCGTGCTTATTTCGGGATTTGGGCACTTTGCACCTCTTGTGCTTCAACCGCAAGTTTGCTTCGAAGGTATAATAGTTAAAGAGAGCACAAACGTCACTTCGCTTGCTGCCGCGACCGCATTTACGAAAGGAGTGCACTGCTCACACATGAAGTGAGAATTGTGACAATCGTTCGCCCTCGTCCTGTGTATATCTGTGCATTCATTTAGTTCGTCTTTCTTTCTGTTTGAGCAACGTACTTTAAGTGTTGAGCTGTGACAGTTGTTTGTCTTCCCTCGTCATGTGAATGCTCATTTCATGGGTGCTTTCTGCTTGAGGTGTGCGCTGAAAGTTTCGGGCTGCTTGACGTTCGTTGCGTGACGTAATTTGTTGCTGCAGCATTCATTCTTGTACCCTTGTGGCGAAACAATGCTCAATGAACGCTCAACTACTTCTGCGACGACACTTTTCACTTTCATGTTATATGGATTCCCAAAAAGACAGATCAGCCACATTTTTTTAACAAAGCCAAATAAGCATAATTGAAGAGGGACATCAAAGACAGAGGCAGACAAGGAAGGGCACCTGACATTTTTTGTTGTCTCTTTGTATATACCTGTATTTATTTACGACGATTCGACCTTGTTGAAATGCAAGACCAACTAGCCCATTGTACTGTAGTATAAGGTCTTTTAGAAAAGTATCCCATCTTTCGTGAAAGAAAAAAAAATTGGCATAATTGTAGCATTGGAAACCTAATCTCCTTCAAAGTAGTTCCCTTGGGACACCACACACTTCTCCCAGCGGTGCTGCTATTGTTGGAAGCATTTTCAAAAGACCTCTTTCGGAATGGAGTTTAGCTCAGCTGTTGTTGCAGCCATAATGTACTCCCTTGTCTGAAATCGCTCTCCCTTCAATGTCCTCTTGAATTTGGGAAACAGCCAGAAGTCGCAGAGCCATATCAGAAGAGTAACAAGCATGTTGAACTGCAAGAGCTTGGCTTTTGATTAAAAAAGTCTGAACCAAGTGCGAGGAAAGTGCAGGAGCATCGTCGTGAGGGATGCGCCAGTGTCCTGTTGATCACAACTCTGGTCTCTTCTTCCGCACAGCGTCACGAAGGCAACGGAGGACATCTTTATATTACTCTTTGGTGATTGTTTGAGGCTGTGGTGCCTACTCTTGATGTACCACACCACGGCACTCAAAAAAAGCACTCAGCATCACTTTGACTTTGCTGTGCACTTGGCGGACCTTCTTTGGTCTTAGTTACGTGGAATGCTTCCACTGTGACAACTGGTATCTGGTTTCCGGGTCGTACCTGTACAACCAAGACTCATCACCAGTGATAATAGTGTTCATGGAGTTGGGGTCACTGCTTCTGAAATCCAGCATGTCCAGTGAGACTTCACCATGATGTTGCTTTTGGTGCAACGTGAGCAGTTTCGACCCAAATTTCATCGAGCTAAATCTTCGATTATAATGGAATGTGCAGAGAAAGTTCTGATGCCCACCTCTTCTGCGATTTTCTGGACAGTCACACGATGGTCCCGCACCCCCAAAGTGTTCACTTCGACAATGATCTGGTCATTTTGGCATGTTGATGGCGGACCAGACCGGGGCTCGCTTTCCACCGATGTGCGGCCGTCTTTAAACTGGTTGTACCACTGCTTAATCTGTGTGCGGCTCATAGCCTCGTAACCGAAAGCCGTCTTGATTTTACGAATGGTTTCTTCTTGTCTGTCACCCAGTTTCTGGCAAAATTTGATGCAGTAGCGCTACTTCAGTCGCTCCGTCATATTCCTTGCAATGAAAAGCCAACGAGAGCACTGCGCACTACCTCACTCAAATGCTGCATCCCAGTGACTGACGCTACTGGCAGCCGGGAAAAAATTCAGGCATGCACATGAAGGTTCAAGGTCGGCTGATGCAAGCGCACTTGT